AACCCCAAACCCCTAAACCCTAAGAAGCCCCAGGGCCCAAACCCTGAATGGTATCCGCACGGCTCATAGCAGGGACGGCAGCAAAAGAGCAGGAGCTAAGAGGCGGCAGGAGGTAGTGGTAGTGCCAGCAGTAGCTTTGGGGTTTAGGGTTTATAGGGTTTATAGAGCTCATAGGGTTTATAGAGTTTTGGGGTTTATAGGGTTTATAGGGTTTATAGGGTTTATAGGGTTTATAGGGTTTAGGGTTTAGAGTTTAGGGCAGCGGCAGTGGCAGTAGTACGGTAGAAGCAGACCACAGCGAGGACCATGATGGCAACTACGACATTACCCCCTGTTTCTACTAGTTCTACCACCAAGGACATGGGCTACTAAAGCAGAGTCGACCAACACGACGACTTTAACGACAGAGACTGCTGATTCACTATTGGAGTCATCATCGTTAGTAAAACTACACCGGTATAACACCCATGACTTGTTCCTTCATCTTTTTACAGTGGGGCTAAAAGTCTCTTAGACGCCAGACTGGTCAGTCACAGTTTCGTCTTGTGTTGTCCTTCATGTGTTGTTTAATCCTTGTGTTTCATGATTTGTGTTTGTCTCCATTTGTCTTTGGAATGACCAAACCCTAAGGGTCCATGTACCCAAACAGTAGATACATTGGCCCTAAAGTACCTATATTGACTACTTTAAGGCCAAAGTATATCTATTTGGGAACATGGACCCTTAGGGAAACTTCAGAATACGCTGATTTGCGCCGTTGCTCTGTCAGTGGCGTGGCTCAAGCAAAGATTCCTGGAGCCGACCACTTCAAAGCCCTTGCGTCAGGACTGTCATATGAAGCGCGGTTTACATTGCCCGTGGAGGTATGGGCCATCTAAGGATGCTTATGCAATTTGGTGAATGCATATTATGAGGGTTTCCGGATTTTGGGCTCTATTTTGGGACAATAATAGTGGAAACCCACACTCCAGATCATCACAATAGCAGTGTTCGGGCTGTAAACGAGTAGACGCCGGGTTAAACCCCGAAGCCCCCAAAGCGCTGAATCCCATAGTTTTTTGTGATCTTTTCTGGATACGCAGATACTACAACACCTAACCCTGAAGCCCTAAACTCTGAACCCTTAACTGCCTTAACCCCTAAACTTTGCACTTGAACGTACCTGTCAGTGTTTAGATCCTACCAGCCTTGAAATCCCAAAAGGCGCATCATATGTACCGGATACCCAATAATCCTAGAAGTACGTAGTACTGAATAAACCCGGTAAATTTTATAAGCATATAGTTAAAGGCCGACGCAGGGACGAAGGGCCCAGCGTGCTAGAACGTCGAAATGGCGTTCGTTTGTGTGAACGCTGTGCTCATGAGTGGTAGAGGCACTTGGATCACAGCAAGGTGCGATTGGACAGTTGGGGAACTTAAGCGACAAGCGCAAAATTCATTGCAAACTGGACGTGGCATCTTGGTCAACCAATCCGGCGAGTTCCTGCGCGACGAAGAAAACCTTCTCGATGCTGGCGTGAAGATGGGTGACGTCGTCTCCCTCCATTTGAGGGAAGTGCATATCGCTGCTACAACCAATGCATTTTGTGCTGTCCTAGGCGACGGACGTGTCGTGTCATGGGGTGATTCGAAGTATGGCGGTGACTGTAGCTCGGTCAGCAAGCTGTTGAAAGACGTGAAGCACATTGCCGCTTCGTTTGCTGCCTTCGCTGCTGTCCTTCGCAACGGATCTGTGGTTGCTTGGGGGAACTCGGGTTTCGGGGGCAATATTGGCCCCGTGGCACACCAGCTGGGCATCTTGGAGACCAAATAACCCTCATAAGTAGGGGCACTATATCATAAATCCCTACACATGGTATATGAACCTGAAGACCTTTTTTCGGGATCTTTTGGTCCTTATAAGGCAATGTGGAGCGAATCATAGCTTCATGTGGCGCCTTTGCTGCCATGTGTGCGGATGGATCCGTCGTGACTTGGGGGCACGGCAGCCATGGCGGCAACAGCCGAGCGGTCCAGCACCGGCTCCGGAATGTTCAAGAGTTTCTGGGCTTTGGAGTACCATACGTTAATACTTGTTTTTTGTGACCTGTTCCTTAAAGGAACCCGTAAACCCTAAACCCTAGAATCATTATGAAATAAAAGTCTATACTTTTTGTCCCTGGTTACTTCAAAGCCGAGGATCCATGCTGCCCACATGTCGTTTGCTGCAATTATCGACGATGGCTCCGTGGTTACCTGGGGCAATCCCCTCCATGGTGGGGACAGCAGCGCCGTCGAGGACTTGCTCAGGAATGTTCATACAGTTCAGGCGACGAATGGCGCTTTTGCTGCTATCCGCAATGATGGAACCGTCGTGACCTGGGGCCAATCCAAACAAGGTGGCGACAGCCGCGCTGTGCAGCACAGCCTTCAGAACGTGCAAAAGATAAAGGCCTCGCCCGGGGCCTTTGCCGCCCTTCTTGGCAATGGCTCTGTGGTGACTTGGGGGCATCCTGACCACGGTGGTGACAGCAGCAGCGTGAAAGATCAGCTGGTGCACGTGCAGCAACTGGAGGCGTCCTTTGGGGCTTTTGCTGCAGTCCTCGGTGATGGGTCTGTCGTGACCTGGGGGAACCCCCATTATGGCAGCAACAGCAACTGGGTACAAGACCCTGAGCAGCTAATGGCCACACTTTACACTTTTGGGGATAATGATATATCCCCTATATGCCCCATATGCCCCTATAAACCCTAAACCCTAACTTATGAACTCAGCAACTAAGGACCAGCTGAAGCATGTCAGCCGGGTCGTGGCTTCGGACGGGGCATTTGCTGCTATTCGTAGTGACCTGGGTTTGGAGCACCATACGGTTTAGGGTTACGGTTTAGGGTTTAGGGTTGGGGTTTAGGGTTGAATTGTTTGGATTTATGGGTTTAGGGTTGAATTATTTGTTTGACCTGTTCCTTAAAGGAACCATTATGGAATCAAAGTCTGTACTTTTTTCTCCCTAAGTAAAGGTGATGGATCGGTCGTCACCTGGGGAAATCCCGGCCAGGGCGGTGACAGCAAAGCTGTCCAAGAAGAGCTGCGTAATGTCAGGCACACGGTTAAAATTTTAGGGTTTGCGGTTCCCAGAAGAGCTGAGCAATGTCAGGCACACCCCAAACCCTAATCCCTAAACGGTTCACATTTTAGGGCCCATAGGGTTTAGACTTACCAGAAGAGCTGCGAAATGTCAGGCACGGGGTTGGAGTCGAGTGTTCCAAGAAGAGCCCTAGACCCTAATGTAGGAACCTGGTTAATATCTAGTAGGGGCCTTAAGAATTAGAATAGGATTTGGGGGTATATTATACGATAACTATAAGAATAAGGAGCCGCCGAAACCCTATTCTAACTATTAAGGCCCCTACATTAAGAACCCTAAACCCTAAACCCTAAAACCTAAACCCAGCCCTAAACCCTAAACCCTAAACCCTACTAGAGACCCAGAGCTCTCAGGATTTCTTAGTGAGGTTCCTAGGTTGCACCAGAAGAGCTGCGGGTTTAGGGTTTAGGGGTTTAGGGTTTAGGGTTTCCCTATGCGTGTTGCCAGGCACATTCAAGCATCCCGCAGAGCCTTCACGGCCATTCTCGAGAATCTTAGCTCCCCAATAGCTTAGTTGGGTTTAGGGTTTAGGGTTTAGGTTTTAGTTCCCCAATACACAACCTTTAAACTTTTTGGGTTCTTGTATTTTAGTAGTGATCTGAGAGTTTAACCCTAAACCCTAAACCGTGGTAAGGAATGGGTCGCTGGTGACTTGGGGAGACGCACTGAGCGGTGGGGACAGCAGCTCCTTGCAACGTGAACTGAGGAGCCACGTATAAGCAGGCTCAGGGTCTGTTTAGGGTTTAGGGCTCAAGGTTTTGAGCATTGTTCAGTTTAAACGTAGCAGACAGGACACATAATCCTAAATCCGAACTGCCAGAGCCCTAAACCCTAAACTTTAAACCCTAAGCCCTAAACCCAGTAAGAAGACTAGACCCTCGATCCTGAGCCCAACAGGATGCACAGGATGCATGTAATTCAGCTCAAGATCAACTGTTTGAAATTTTAAACTTTTAGAGTTTGTACCGCTTCTGCGGGAAGCATGGCGGTCAAGTATCACAAGTTGTAAGCCCAATCATACAACGTCGCTATATTACCTTTTGGGATTTAGGGTCCGTTATACTACATACATAATATATATATATATAGTTATTGCTTTCTTTTTTTATACATGGACCCTGTCCATCCTATAAATAAAGTTGAATGGAGCAACAACAAGATGATAGAACACAAGTGTTTTGACAATTAGGGCTTAGGGTTTGGGGTTTAGGGTTGGGTGGTTTGTTGTTTAGGGTTTAGAGTTTAGGGTTCAATATGGTTTAATCAAATGCCCTCGAGCCGTAACTGGCCACAAACGTTCCCTGGCCTTTGAACCTGTGGGACGAGCCTACTGCAACTCGGACACCAGATTTGAGATGCATCAAAAGGCTTACCGTCGAGGCTCAGCCCTCAAAAACCCTAAACCCTAAACCCTAAACCCTCAACCCTCAAAAACCCTAAACCCTAAACCCTAAAAGGCTCAGCCATCCTCGAAGCCCAAAGCCCTAAAGAGTTCGGGCTTGAGGGTTTTATGGGTCGGGGCTTTGGGTGTTTTAGAGTTTAGGGTTGTAGGGTTTATATAGGAAGCCCTTTTGGGCTTAGGGCCTGTTTAAGGCTGTTATGGCGTCCATCATTCATATGGGTAGTTCTCTAAATCAGGGTCCCTTTTAGGGTCCTTTTTATAAGGGTGCCGTACTATATTTGGGATCTAAAAAGGGACCCTAATTTAGAGAACTACCCATATGGTTCCATGGTTTCTTGGCTTGTGCTTTAAGGGTTCTTACAAGGCTTTCCCTTCAGCGGGTTTCGCTTTAAGCATTCTTTTAAGGTCCCTAGGGTACTCTGCGGGCCCTGGACAGTTTAGGGTTTTGGCGTTTAGGGTTTAGGGTTTAGGGTTTAGGGTTTAGGGTTTAGGGTTTAGGATTTAGGGTTTAGGGTTTAGGGTTTTAGGACTCAGAAAAGTTTGGGGCGAAGCGCAATCAAGGACAGACCATACCCGAATGCTGCCAACACATGGCACCGAGGCAGTTGCTTCTGTGTGTATGTCAGAGTTTTCCT